AAAATTTACAGAACTTCAAGAAAGTCACAGACAGCTGCGTAAGTATTTTTTTRTTGATGTTTAAAAATATATTAGGTAGAATATCCTGCTTTTCAGTCCAAGTGAACTGGTAYGTCTGACCAAAAAAGTGGAAATCTGAGACAAAAAGTTTAATTTTTTTGTAACAGAATTACATTCAGGGACTAACTTTAATGCAAAGCCATTCATGCTTTGTTTGGGTCTTCTAAATATAATATGAAAAAATACTTTAAAAAAATTAACCCATAAAGGGATTAATTAATTAAAGGGATTAATTTGAAGAAAATTAATTACTTCTGTTCAGAAAAGTTAAAAGATCAGGCTGATYCATAATCATGTTTAATTCAGTCATTATTTTATTCATCATCATGAAATGAGATGAAAAGCTAAGGGACATAAAAAAGTAAGAAGGAATAAGAGGAATTTTTRATACGAAAAAAGATTAATAGATAATAAGCAGCTTATTAGCCTCCAACAAAATTTTGTGGTGTATTCTTAAACTGGAAGAGAARTGTAAAGGAGCAATACAGGAATACTTGCAGACAGCACAAAATTTCGATTACTTAGCTCTCCCCTTGATCTCCAAGGCACTTCAAAGCGAGTCAAGGAATGTATTAAGCAGAGAGTACAGTGACTTGAAAAATTTCAGYGTTAGTAAAAACAAAGGAATACAGATCATAGAAGCAGAGATGAAATATTTATAAATTACAGACAGCTCCAAATTAACAGAATTGTATCAATATGGAGGATACAAAAATGCACAATATGTCACTGCAGAAAATAGACAAAACATGGGATCCATAAGGAATGTAAACACGTGTTAATTTATAAAATAATCTCAAATGTCAGTGACTTGTGCTTCCCTGAGTGTCAAGCATGCCACTTCACTTACAAGATGATGCTGCAGAATAACAGTCAGCAGAACAGCAAGAATAGGTAAGAGTGTAGAAGAATGTTGGCAAAGATGATTTATCCTGAAAAAYAGTCAAATCAAATRGAGGTAATAAAAAATATAAAATTWAAAAAAAAGATAGTTCGTAAGTTTCTGCTGCCTTTGCATCATAACGCTAGGGAGGAAACTTCATTAAAGCCCAGCATTTTAAAAGTTCTCCAAGGAAGTTGTTTTTCACAGAATAAATAATCAAGACACTATGGTCTATATGGTCTAAAGCATTGCTAAAACCAATAAATCAGCAAAAATGCTTTATATTAGACATTTTTGCAAGCATATCCAGAATCCTAGTAATCAGTGTTATTAACTGGAACGTAGCATCTTCTTTCCAGCCAATTTCTAATTACTAAAAATCACAGTAGTCTTTCCAGGATAGCAGATCTGCCTACTGCAGCTTCCTCCCTCTCAAGATGACAACTTTCAGAAGATGCATATTCAACAAAAAGCACTTGATTCGGCATCTGATTCAGAAAGCTGAAAGCAAGGGCCTACATTTTAGGTGCCCAGAATGACAAAGCACTCTGTAGCTAAGGGAGAATTAGTTAATAAACAGTGGAGTCTAAACTGAACTGAGCAATTACAAAAATCTGCTTTAAAGACCTACTAATTTTATTTTAGATACCTAAATTTAGGGGCCTGTAAACCCATCATAGAGTCCCACACAGAAGTTAGGACAAGCTGAATCCTCATCCTGASTATCATATGGTATGTTAACTCTCATATTCCTGGAGGGCACCTTCCAGAATGACAGAGAAATTWTTTCCTCTGTTACTCTTAGAYGCAATTAGATAAAGCCAGCTATACAAAGTAGTGCYTCAAAGCCAGTATTTTACCATAAAGTTATTATTTTCTATCACATTTACCATCAAAACACCCATAAATGAATTAAACGTTTCAAACTAAAGTTTGGATGGATTAAATGCAGGTGCTGTCACCTGATGCCTGTGCATTTAATATGTGACTCTAGCACAAATTTATAGTAACTCAGGGCATTTTATACAATCATGTGGCTCAACAACTGACAGGCAGCATGCTTAACATCTACAGATTTTTTTTCCTCAGCAATGTGCATCAGTTCTTCATCATCAAATGCAAGGCAGAGGTAYAAACTTAAGCCCAAAGTTCACCTAAGAAAATCTCCTTTTAAATCACAATCCATGATCACATTTGTTGCCTTGAGGAACTTCATCATCTGATTACGCCTCYTCAAGAATCCTTTTAGTATTTAAAAATCCCATTCCTTATAACTCTAAGAAAAAAATCCAAACCACACCACCACTACTCCACAAGTTCACTCTTGCATGCCAGAAAGAGCTCTTTGGCCTCATTTGGTCTCGAGTCYCATTTTGAGAAAAATAAAGAGGTTTTTCTAAAGGTATCAACAATCCATCTTCCATCCCTACAAACCAAAATACAAGGAATKACAGCTCTCAGCAGAATTGGTCACTGCTCCATCTGCTTCCGTGCAATGGGGATGGGAGATTGATTCACCCTGGGAGCCTCCCCAAAGAGGTAAMATGCTGTGCAGCTACACTGCTCTGGCTGTGCTGAAACAACAGGAACCACCCTCTGAGGMAGAAGCAAAGTGCTGGAGAAAAACATGTTCAGCAGAGTACCCAACATCATTGTGGGGACTCAGCCCTCCCCCACACCACTGAACKGGGCAGGAGCTGAGCAAAATCCCCCACAGGTTCCTGCTGTGGCTGATGGAGARGGTGATGCAAACCTCTCATGGACTGAATTGGCTTCTTGAACCTCTTCTCTCTCTTCCCATAGATTTGGGAGACTGGTACCTAACAAGACAGTGGGGAGAATCTGGCCTTGAGGGTCTTATGTAAAGACTGAAGTCATGGGACACCTTTTCTTCAGTTTAATAATCTCTAGGTAGGGATGCTCAGAACTACAAAACACCTAYAATCTTTTAAAAGGCATCCTAGTGCAAGCTTGTGCACTAGAAACTAATTGCTAGAAATGAGTTGATTGTTCATTGAAAGGTAATACCATGGGCAATAAAGAAAAAAAAATGAAACAGATAAGCTGATATAAGTTTATCAGCTTTTCATTTTAATTAACAGACACAATGAACCTAAACTTTCCCTTTAACCTCAGCTTGTTTGCAGAAAGATAGGAAAAGTAATTCCAGTGAACAAACAATGGTATTCAGTTACATAAAATATTCTGCAAATTTGTGCATCACAAATAAACTGAACCTTAAATCTGTGTGTTATGGCTAATTTTAGGACTTGAGTTTTATCCAAAAAAAGAGCGTGGAAAAACTTGACACATACACCTCTGCCTTCAAATAGGCAAACTAGAAAGGGCAAAACAAGGCAAAACAGTAACTTCTACAAGCTGGTGGTGGGGAATTGAGGGGAGAGAGGGGAGAGGGTGGGATTTAAGTGAAATGACAAAAGGACTTTTTTTTTTTTAATTTTAATGTAATTTTTTTAAGGTTTTTTCTTCCTGGAAAARTTTGGTGTATATTCCATCTACGTCAGTTTGTGTTAAAAATATTCTCTACTGGGACAAAGAAACAAGAGGAGTACACTAACCAGAGAAGGCCAAAATTAAGGATTTAATTTTAGCTTTTTTAACAAAGAGGATACTAACTGAGCACTTAGAACGTAAATAAAAAAACAATCAATTTCAAGAAAGGCAGAATTATCTTTTTAAGAGAATAAAAAGGCAAAAAGAAATGTTTCTTTTTTATTTGTAAGGAGTATTGCTGGAGAGCTAACCACCCGCTCCACCCCCAGCCTGGGAGTCCAAGCCAGTGCAGGCGAGGTCAGAGATGTCTCACTTCACAGAGCTGTGTTGCTGGGAGACTGGGTTAGGCAAGCACAAAGAAAGAAGCCAAAAGATTAAGCAAGATGACGACTATTACCATATTTCACAGTCAAATCAGATGASTCTTCAATCCAGGAGAGCTTTAAATCCAAATAATTTCTCAAAATTAATTTGAAGACTCCTTAGAGAAAACAGTTTGCCCTAAAGTACCCAGGAAATGAAAATAAACAGTGTGTCTGAGGCTGTTAAAGCTGTAGCCAGAGATTTCTTTTTTCACTACTGACTTCCCCAGAAGTCTTGACTCTAGCACCAAAACATAATTTTGGTGAAGAATGAGATACTGAATGGGCCTAAAAGATTATAAACGATAACATGACTGCATCAGCAGCTGCCTGGGAAGTACCACAGCAAGGAAGAAATATGAAGCTCTCACAGGGCTTGTGTTTGACTGCTTTGGAGAAGGAAAACCAGTGCTGATAATATGGACCACCCTTGGAATTAAAAACATCAGGAAAATGAAAAAATGAACACTTTAATAGAGGATAAATGGACATGCAGGTTAAGAAAAATAATGCTATTAAACTCAAGACCTTCAAGAGGATTTCACCCATGGTCTTCCTCCAGAAGTCAGGAATCAGCAGAGGAACTGTGTCAGACATTATCACTTAGTTCTAACAGAGCAGTTGAACAAGAAATGGAAGATCATTTGGGTATGTAAAACACAGCTGTGAGCTTACAAAAATGGGGATTTATGAACTCTCTCTGTTTCTTACAGCAGCTTCAGAATCAAGGTGTGATTGTAGGGAGAGCTTTTCCACATGAATTGGAAACRTATATGAATGTGATTGGCAATGAAAAAAATAAAATACACTTCAATATGAGAGGGAACCAAAAACATTATAATAAGAAAATKAAAACCAAATCTCAATTACATTTAATTCAGTGTGTCACCTCAAAGAGAAACTACAGCACAAACCCAAGCTGCACTAATAAGTATTAAAAAGTACTAATACTGAATCTTCTTATATTTTTAATGYCTTGTTTCATATTTTTTTGACATTTCTGCTCACTGAAATAAAATGTTCTAGAGTTGATGTGGTATTGTTCTCATACATTAAACCATTTCCAAAAAAAGACATTTTATTTCCAAACAGAGGAAAATAAGCAATTGAGAGGATTCTTGATTTTCTTAGTAACAGTCTATCCACAGCTTTCAAAAACAAGTATTAAAATTGTTCCATACCGTGAAGCTGTTGTTGACATTTTTTGTGCTTGATTCAGCAACGCTGGCATCTGACAGGTCAACTTCATCAAATATTAGAGACTGTGAAGGGAAAAGAACATAGAAGCATTAAATTAAGTCTCAGTCTACTTTCAGGTATGCTTACAAAATATGCTTTAATTTCATTCTGTCTATTCCAATTATAAAATAAAAATAGAAAATAAAAGTAGTGAATAAAATAGAACACACTGATGATGTGATAAAATTTCATAGCTGGCCCCTAAACACAGTCTCACTTGTTATCTAAGTGGTTCATGARAGCATAAAAAAAGCAGTTCCATAATTATATTGCTTTAAAATCTCTTTAAAAAGAAGAGGTGTTTTTTAACATAGACGAAGCTTTAGATGTCTACAGTGTAGCATAAATGTGGTGTCAGAGGAAAGAGATTCACACACARTAAAATGTAAATTAATTATCTAGTTTTAGGATGAACTCTAAAGTCATGTAGGAAACTATAATATAGTGTCTGTATGAGAATATTTATCTCAAAGGCCTGAAGACATCCCCTCCATCCCTTTGTTTGATGTTCCAAGAAGGTAAATATATGTCTAAACACTCCAGCCTCTGGCAAAGGATGAGTTAGGTTCTGTAATGCTCCTGATGTGTTTTGTAGCACAGAAGAACAGCCCAACAAAAATGCCTGGTGTTTTAGCCCTACCCTTTTTTTCTTCTCCATGCCACATGAAGGAGAATCACTGCTGGGGGAGTTTCAGCACATCTGGATTCAGCATTAGAATATTGGCWCAACTGCCTACTCACACCACCTTCCTTTCCCATCTTTATCACAGAATGGTTTTGGTTGGAAGGGACCTTACAGATCAYGTAGCTCCAAACCYGCTGCCACGGTCCAGGTTTCTCAAAGCCCCACACAACCTGGCCTTGAACATTTCCRGGGATGGGGCATCCACAGCTTCTCTGAGCCGCCTRTGCCAATGTCTCACCATGCTCATAGGAAGGAGTATCTTCCTACTTAATATTCAAATCTTTCCTCTTTCAGCTTAAAGTCAATCCCCCTTGTCTTATCACTACAAGACCTTGTAAAAAGTCCTTCTCMGCTCTCTTATAGCCCCTTTTAGGTACTGGAAGGCTGCTAGGAGGTTTCCCTGGAGCTTTCTCCTAGCTGAACAACCCCAACTCTCCCAGCTTGCCGTCATAAGAGAGGAGCTCTAGCCCTCTGATCACCTTTGTGGCTCTCTGGACATGCGACAACATTTCCATGGCTCCCAAGAGAGCAAGAGCCCAGACCCATTGGARTGAGACCAACATTGACCCAAAAGTGTGCAAATATCCCACATTCCTCATCTAAAGGAGTAGGCTTACACTTTCAAAACATCTCAGCATCACACTGTGATTTGAGGCTGCCCTTCTCAGAGCTCTCACCTGCCGTGCTGACCCTTTATTTAAACTGCTTGTGGTCACACCAAGTGCAGAGATTTGACCACAGAAGCACGGCAGTGCTGGGCTCCCTGGAGCAGGGACGTTCTCCTTGATTCATCACAGCTCTGCAGCCACAGTCCTATGGCCCCAGAAAGAGAGTTCTCTGCCTTTACTGAGAGTTTTGTTGAGAAAACCAGGCTACAGAAGATGACAGGGACCTGAAGCACCTCACCTACAGCTCCCATGAGATGCTACAAACCCACAGGATAAAGGAAAGTAACACCCACCGCTATGGAACAGCACAATCTGAGTCAGTGAAAATGATCTTGGCCCCAGCCTCGGGCAGGAGGAAGGAAATGCCTTTCAAAGAGAAAACAAGTATTCCCCTCTGCACACCCCCAATTCTCCCACAAAAAAATTTCAATTGATGGGAAACAGATTTTTCCCTTATATATCAGTTTTGGCAGAAAATCAGCCTATCTTGATTTCACAGAACTATTTCTATGGGCATCAGATCAGAAGAGTTTTAATAGAATTCAGTTTGAGGGATACTTCTATTATTTACTTTTTTTGACTGTCCTAGAGCCCCAAAAGTCCCCACAACTTCTTAAAAATTACTTTATTATTTGTCTAAATAGCCAAAGAAGTTAAAATGACCATGATAAACTTAATTTTAAAAAATCAAGAGAAATTATCAATCTTCCTTAAAGTTAATTTAACACACTACATCCTATAGTTTTTACATAAAACAACCTTGTACAAATAATTGAAAAATTATGATAATAATAATAATTATTATTATTATTAATGAACTTCTAAAACCAAACAAAATTGCAGTCACAAGTAAATGGCATTTGACACTAATAGAAGATAATTACCTTTGAATCCTTCGCATAGTAAAGGGTACGACCTCGAAGTTTGAAATAACGCTTTTTCCACCTCTGAAAAGAGCTGGTTTGCTTCAGTAGTAATCCTTCTTTTATACTTGTCTGAAAAATATTAAAATACAGAAACCAAGGTAAATACATGTAGAAATAGCTACACAYATAGAATAAAGTTATGCTTTTAAAAACTCATGTTACACCTCATGTAACTGTGAATTTGAACTTTTGTTTATTCACATTAAATAGAGACTAATTCTCTGGACCACCAGATTTTGCTTTACTATTTTTTAAACAATGACAACRTTGGCAAAATGCTAATTTTACATGTAAACTGAAAAGGCAGTCAAGAGGCATATAATTATCCTGAAGATACACATGAAACAATTCAATTATCCAGATAGCTGMAAACATACAAATATTAAAGTGAGCAACAACTGATGGTGGCACAATTTAGAAAACAAAATACTAAAACCATCAACAGAAGGTAATTTCTAGTCCCAAAATTGATTATGTTGAGGAGAAAAACAATTTCCACACGGACACTAATTCAACAAGGTACTTAAATGTGCCTGATCCAAGCACATGAATTACTTTAAAATAGAGGGAATAATCCACTGTGATTCGAGTCATGCAAGACTTTGAGAACGCTGTTGAACTGAAGCCTTCAGCATGAAATCAGCTAACCATTAGAGATAATTATTATCTGCAAAGTGTAAGAAGAGTAACAGATAGGGATATTTTYACCATGCAAATATTTTTAGGCAAAAAGTGACTTGCTGATCCAAACCTTTCCATTGCAGACTGAACCCTGTCTATATAAAGCCCATTTTTTGRAATGAGTAAGAGACAAATCAGTGTATTTTAAAGGTGTATGCTGCTTTCACCAGTGTTTGTGGGATTCATGTAATTACAGAAAATCTCCACTTAATCAGACAAAACKACATGAGCACATCATACTAATAGCAAGAGTACCAAAATAAATTTTCTTCAGTTTTGAAGCACACAAGAGGTATAAGAAAAAGCAAGTACAGCTGGATATTATATTCCAGAGTTACTTTTTCTARAATATTTCTGATTTGTAATGTAATAACGTGATGAGAGTCTTATAATACAATTTCTAGACAATGTGATGCAAACATCATTTGAAGTTATTCTAGAACTTGTAGAAAATTAACCAAGATCTGACGTAAAGTTTCTAAACATCTTCTATTATCAGATGTCAAATTCTGCTTAACTTTAATGCAAGTAATAAAAACACAGAAAAAGCAGAAATAACTATATTGCTGCTACCATTTCCTTGAAATGAGAAACAGAGATCACACCCTTCATTTAGAGGGTCCTAACGTCACACACCAAGAATATGGTCCAATGATCACAAAGCAATTGAATTAATGCTCTCAAAAAAGCAACCCTCTCAGATCCAACATTGTAGCTGAAAGTTTGATTTGTCACAGTGTACTTCATGTGCCAACAACCTGGACCAATAGATTCAGTCAGCCCTCCTGCTCTAGCCAAGGCATAGCAATTGCCAGTGAAAAAGGTTTGCTCACCACACACCATTTAATACAGTTTGCAATTTTCTGTTCAGGCCCCAAGATGAGCTAGTTCTCCATGATTTAAATAGATTCAATCAGTTAGAAAATACAARCACTTATTCAAAGCTGTGTGTTGCAGCCATGCGGCACCTGCACTTCATAACGCTCTCTGAAATATCAGAAGCTCATCACAAGGAAGGAGTAGATGATTTGTGTGTTTATCAAGGGTCAGAAGATGTTAAGGCCAGAGAAATTCAGTTCCAAAATGGGAGGAAATCCACAGTCACTAAAATGCCCTAGGTGTACTAGGAGACACAGAACATATGTTATGCTGAATACTTKAGGGAATTTTAAACTCTGTTCAAAGGACAAAGTTCAAAGCTCCCTAAACCTTGAGCTGTGACTCAYTAAAGAATTGGTTAACTCTTTCCTGTAATTTTTTTGCCTACATAAACCATTTTCTCTTATTTTTCTATCCCCTTAAGCATCAATATCCCTAATGTCAAACCAATAAATTCAAAATTAAATCTATTTTTCAAATCAGCAATTTGAAATAAACTTCCTAAAGCTGGCAGTACATAATCTTGTGGGTCCTACAAAATATATTTTTGCGTTAAAATTTTAAAAAATCTGGCAAACATTTACCCCAGAAGTAAAGGCATTTAAAAGTATACACCTGAAGTTTTCATTTACCACAAATAAATATATTAGGTTGAGGTTTGAGCATTTTAAATAGACAATTCAATGGCTGTAGACCAAAGCCGAGCACAAGTCTTTAGCCCAATATCCTTAATTAACTTTAATTAAAACTTTAAAGTGTTTAAAATTCTGTCTGACAATTGAGTCATTAAGTAATCTACTAATAATGCTTTCCTGAATCTATATCAAAGTTAGACCATTTCCAGTAATTTGAGATTGGAAGGGACCTGTCAGGTTGTTGAATTTGGGTCGTCATTATTGCCTGCAAGCAGGTAATGTTAAGGTTTTCAAAAGCGTTGATCAGGCTATTACTACACTTAAAGAAGGTAGGTGGTCCCTTTTTTTCTCCCCGTGGCAATTAAGACAGTGCTCCAAGTTCTCACTGTTCTGAGAAGCCTTTTTATAATTAATCTCAGCTGGACATTAAATCTGAAGTACAAAGCAAYAATCACTCCAATTATATTAACCACTTTCCTCCTGTAATTTAAGAGAAACAAGGAGAACAGATCCCACAATCCCATGCTACTTCTCGCTTTTACAGAATCACCTCTCATSAGCTCACCAAAACCTCTGAACTTCCCCATCCTGCATCTCGTATCATCTAGAAGTACGAGGTCCTCCACAAGGACGGGACTAGAATTACAACAAAGAGAATCTCTAAGAATCTTTGCTATGTTAGCCATTAGTAAAGAAAAATGATTGACAATATTAAAATCACAACATCACAGTGCTCCACACTGATTTTCTAGAAAAAAATCTAATTATAAAAACCCCAGCCATTTTTCATAAAATTAAGGAGTACATGAATATTTGATTATCCAAGAATGTCAAATGCTACCCTGCATCTCTGAAATCTCAATGATCAAAAAAAATTGATTTCTGGATATTTGGATCACTAAAAATCAGAGGCATCATCTTTTGTATCAGCAGGTTTTAAAATTCCAGTATATAACACCTGAAAAGTCAAACTAAAAGGTTTTTTTAAAAGGAAACCAACCACATTGCTTTACTTCTAATTCACTCACTTTGTAAAGCCTCACATTTCTGCAAAGATAATCTTTTTACTTCTGCTGCTGCTAGAAATACGCAAAGAAAGAAGAAAATATTCCAAATTTAGAAAACAGTAAACTGATTATGGACCCATTACTGGCAACTGCAAATTAAAACACTGAATGATTAAAGGTAAAATTCTATCCTCTACTTATTTCATGTAAATAGTTGGAAATGCTGCTCAAAATGTGTCAGGACAGTGAATAACAGAACATGAAGAAATTTCTGAAAATAAGGAGGATGAAAATGAGAACAGGAAAGGCCATAAAATAGGGCAGTCAAATGCAAACAGGAAATTAAAAGGGTGAAGAAGAATTTTAGGATAACCTTGCAACAGATGCTCATGCTGAGACTAAAATGTTCATAAAAYTTCATAAGATGAAACACAGCTAGCTGGTCGGCAGGATCATTTTCAAACAGAATTATGAAAAAGGGTATGAAARGATAAGAAGGTCACAGGAAAGAAGCTCATGAAATGCTCAGGATCTGTTTTTACCAATGAAGATGATGAGGTGGGTCTCACATAGCACTTTCTCCACAGCATCACAACAGCTTCATTGACACGGAGGGCATTATATGGGATGTACTAGAGGAGCCAAATCATTGTCATGTGCACCAGGTGGCATTGACCTGGGAGCCTTGGAGGTCCCAAAAGGGCCACTGGTACTCCTGGTAAGACAGTAAAGTCCATACRACAGAATACTGCTGGGCCCACACCCATCCAAGGTGGCTGGAAAAAGTCAACAGAGCTTTTGTAAAGGAAAATACTGCCCTCCTACGTACCAGGAGCTCAGGAGACATAGGGGAAAGCATGTGGACAATTAAGATCCTGTAGGCCTGGATTTTCAGAAAGCCTTTGACAAGGTTTCCCACCCAAGAATACTGAAGAAATATTGTTAGAATTGAATYGGGAAAAGGGGCATGTTGTGAACCGAAAGTTGCTTCAAGAAAAAATCAAAATCTCATTAACATTCTCACATCAACTTTTAGTGAYGAGATCTGGGAGTCAGTTCACAGCTCTCTAAGCTCAACTACAGCCAGAAATGACAGAAAACTTTGGCTATCACTAAAAAAAGCAACAAACCAAGMTAGACTATAATCTTATGCTCTATAACACTGTTGTTCCAGACAGTTCTACTCTCTCTAATTCAGGAAATGGGGTTAAGAGATGTTACAGAGAAGGGCAACACAAATGATTCACAGAACAGGAGCTGCCTTAGAGCAAGAGAGATTGAAGAGAAGRAGACCAAGGGGGTGATATGAACAATGATTAACAAAGAATTAAGGAAAAGGYGACTGCATAACTATAGCTCATCAAAGCCCACAATGTTATAACAAGGAGGAATGTGATAAAACTATATTGAGATCAGTTTAACAAAGAAAAAGTAGCACATCTTTACATAGCAGGTAGTGATTTTATGAAGCTTGCTGTCAYAAGAGATTGTGCAGGCAGACAGCACCAGCAAGTACAGAATAAGGAACAGAAAATTCAAGGACAGTGTGTCTTCACGTGGTCCCTTGAATTTGCCATAAGTAAGTACCGGGGAATGGATGGCCACCAAACTCACACGGTGCTCCTGAAGAGCCTTTTCTGTTCCACTGCTGAAAGTGCATCAYTGCATGACCAAGCAAAGAAATCCACAGGTTAAATTTCTCCTGCTGTGTAGACAGCATCTCTTTTGCTTTTTAAGTCTGATGTTCATATTCGCAAGAGGGCTTAGGCTCTCATTTGCCAAAACAATTAGTATTTGGATTGCTGACAGACCAGGCCATTAAAGAAAAGAAAAAAAATAGTGAAGAGACAGATGATATGACGATACT